TTTTTTTTTCATATCAGAATAATAACGTGTAAAAACAAAATTGAAACGCGTAATTTATAACTAACGAAAGTCAGGAGTATTTTCACATTGTTTGTCACGCTGTATTGCCTTCTCTCTTTTCCTTTCATTTGTAAATATCATACTTAAGTAAAATAGCATATATTACATACCTCCCTTCTTTTTATTTTGTTCCTTTTTTCTCTCTCTAAATGTATAAACAAAACAAACCTTGAGCGCATGGAAGGTTGTTTAAGATAATATATTTAACTTTTCAACGTATAGTTATTTTCGAAAATGTCCTATGAGTGGACATCACAACCCTTATCAATACAAGCTATTGCTGCTCAATATACTTTACCAGTAGCTATTCGATCAGCACCTGGCTTTCGTGGATCAAGCCATCCGATTATTTTGCACTCAATAGCTCGTACTACATTTGGATTTGGACGTGCTTTAAGAGTTACGCAATCAACAACAAAAGAATATGCGTCATACAGACCAATCGATTCAGAATTATTAGCTGTACCTTTAAAATATCCTGGTGAGTCATGCAATACTTTCTACTTCCTTTTTTATTTCTTTTTGAAAATTTTTAAGGATACTTCGAATGTTTACCATCACGGAATAATCGTAAGATTAATTAAAATATATATTCATTTTCTTAAATTTAATATTAATTTACAGGACAACAAATTGGTATTGCGCCAGAAACTAATATTCGTTCAATTGTTGAACAAATGCAAATTGATCATCGACCACAGGCATTTTATATGGTATCACCCATGCGTGTTTATACAGTTGAGGCTAATGAGGAAGGAATTGCAAATCGTACATGGCATCAAATTGAAGCTAATCAAGTAATTTTATTCGATAAACTTGTTCATGTTGAATATACTCCAACAGTTAATGATGATTTAACAGATGAAGATTATGCTTTTTCATGGTGGTTTTGTTTGGGTAAACACATTTTAAATCGAAATGAATATGCATTAAAATGTATCTTAATGAATCAACAAGTATGTTATATTCCATGTTCATCGACAGATGAAATCAATTTAATACCTGTCGGACAACGTGGATCAAGTAATGTAAATAAATTACAGGCGATTCATAATCTTATTGAACAATTTCCAATGCCTCTCAATATTAAATTAGCTCAATTACCTGGTTTGGTTTTTGTTTAATTTTAAATAATATTTGTTACTAATTTTTGTTCTTCTAATTTAAGGGTCATATGCATATAAAGATTTTAATGGTAATTTACAATTACGTGGTTCACGTACTGAAGAATTTGCTGTATGTGCATCATTATCAACATCAAATATTGCTGCTATTCCAACAAATACACCACTTAAATTTGTTGTTGCACCATTATCATCATCATCATCACAAATTCGAAATATTCTATCAAGTTGTCAAATATTTGTTCAATCATTTGATATGCAAATTCGTCGTATTCTTGTATCAACTCATCATGATACAACATCACATCGTACTCGTTCACGACATCCAAAAATTCAAGCAGCAATTGATGATCAATTTAAACGTTATAAACGATCACATAGTGTTGAACAAAATTCAACTATAAAAGATGATCAAACAACAACAGCAACTACAACTGATGAAGGTTATCGTTCAGGTTCATCAGCAGCTAAAAAACGACAAAATTACAAACAACAAAGGGCGGCCAGTGTTGTTAGTATTTTTTTTTGTTAAATATATATAAATTAGAAACAAAACATTTATCTTTCTAGGATCCAGGAAATCAAGCACAGCATGTTCCACGTAAAAGAACATTATCAACTGATGATGATACGATATATAATTCACTTGTTCATCCTGTTCGAACCAAAAAAGAATCATCATCTCCACCTCCACCTGCCGTACCAAAAAAACCACCGAATTTTCCTTATCCATCAACAACATTTACTTATAATAGTGGAAGTCATCTAATTGAAGAGATTAATTCAGCGGATGCGGATGGTGCTATTTTAATGGATGCATCAAACGAACTATTTTTAGCTTTACCATCCGATAGTCGATTTACATAATTTCATATAAATATATTATTTAAAATAAACATAAAAAGAAATTTATCTAAAAAAAAGAACAGAACATTAACATTTAACACAAATCATGTATTGACCTTATAAATAAATGTTTCTCTTCAAAAAAAATTTCATATGTATTCATCTGTATCTAAACTTGATCAAGATATTGCATGTTTATTTTTGAATGCTCCATCGAATATGGTTTCCTATAGACCAATTTCAATGAGAACTAAACAGAATCCTATAAGAATAGAATCATCTCAATCGATGTGTAATAAAGATAAATTTATCGATGATAATTTATTACAATCTCATTCAAATACAAAAATTATTCCAATGTATTATGATGTAATTATTGATACAGTTACGGATTATGATAGTAAGTGAAGAGATTTCGATCTTTGTATTTTTTTATTTGTTGTGAATCCTTAGTTTTCTATCCGGTAGCTAAACAAATAGAAAAATATGGTTACAATTCAATCAATGCACGTTATCATGTTCAAAGACTTGATGAACATGCTGTTTCAATTAATTTTCCGCATGATTATGATTCAACATCAAATTTATCTAATCAAGATTTTCATCCAATAAAGAACGTGCGTTTTAATGATAAACCAACATGGATTCCATATTCAAGAAATAATACAGAAAACCCATCTATATCTCTTGAACAATATTATTTTTATCCAGAAATGGTACCACATGTAAACAATGAGCAATCATCTAGACGTTATCTTACACCACCATTCTTTTGGTTTTGTCCAGTTCTTGATCATGATTATGCTATTTTTATACCAACTTCAAGACCGAGTCTTCATGCTTATATCTCACCGTTATTTAATCCGTATTCAAAACAAAACTCAACTCCTAATCCAATTCAACTTTAAACTATTTTCTCCTTGTTTTAAGGAGAATTTTATTTTTAATATTCAGGATGTTATTCTGAATTTTTTTCTTTATATAAATCCAAAATACATAATAAATTTCAATTTAAATATTAGACTAATCCATTCTCGATAAATTATCCTCCACCAACTACGATATTCTGGTGCATTTGCACCATTGAATCTATACCATAAATCTTTTTCCCAATTTTCACCAAACCATGTTAATGCATGACTATTTGCTGATAATCGATTCATTTTATTATTTACTAAATATTGTTCGAGGGCATGAGTTCGAGTAACACCTATATGAGAACAACATGATGGAACAACATAACGAGTTATATTTCGTTTTGCTGCATGACCACTTAACCAAATATCATCGACATGACGAATATCATTAGGTGCTTGATTGAAATCATTATAAATATG